TGGTCCACCACGTCAGCTGCCAGTAAAGTTCCTGTGTTACTAGCAGCCGTTTCTTGGGAGAGTCTGTCAGTGGGCTGAAAAGCGAGAGAAGCCACACTTGTAGAGATCGAAGCTTCAGCCTCGCGTGAGGAATAACCGACGTTGTAGAAGCCATAAGGTCCAGTAGCTTTTGAGCGAGATGCGCCGTTACCCAACCCTGCAGTCGAAACCGCTTGACAAGAGCAGCAATTTTCTCAGCCCTTTCTAGGGGCATGAAGGCTCTTGCGACCCGATCATCCAGTATAGCGCCGATGTACGATGCAACTGGCAAGGGAATGAGGACCGACTTCCTGTAATTTACATTGAGATCTAGAGTTCTGAGGAGACGGAGAACAGTGATGGTGTGCCGCTCGGCTTGATGTTTGGAGTGCGCCACCAAAAGCCAATCGTCTATGTATGGAAAAACGGCGATTCCCTTTGTCCGAAGGAACGCTGCCACTGGCGCCATACATTTCGTAAAGACTCGTGGCGCGGTGGAAAGTCCAAAAGGCAGAGCGGAGAATTCGTAGCATTTTGGTCCCAGCGAAAAACGCAAGAAACGGCGATGGTCCTGCCTGATGTTTATATGAAAATAGGCATCGCTGAGGTCTATCACCACGAACCAGTCACCTTGTTGAAGGAGCGGAAGAATTCTCTCCAAAGTCACCATCCTGAAACGACGATAGGCTATGAACTTGTTGAGGCGTCTGAGGTCCAGAATAGGACGAAAAGAGTCGTCCTTTTTTGGAACTAAGAAATACCTGGAGAAGAAACCGGGATCTGAAGGATTTGGAAATACCCGGGTTATGGCCGACTTTTTGAGGAGAGTGTTGATTTCCTCCCTTAAAGGAGGGGAGGGTTGGGTGAAGACGAGCCGAGGAGGAGGCTTCTCTAAAAACTCTATGGCATAGCCATTGGCTATGATGGAAAGTACCCATTTGTCTGAAGTAATGAGCAACCAGTTTGCTAGGAAGGGCGATAAGCGGGTGGCGCAAGAAGAGACGAAAGTGGTGCAGAAGGAGTCAAAGTCCCTGCTTGGATTTGCGGTCAGGCTTTTTATAGGCGGAGCGTGTCCTTTGTCGTTGGTCATGTCTAGTGGTGTAGCTAGTCTGAGCAGTGTACCGTGTTTCTCCAATAATAAGACCTATCCTGAAAGTAAGCCCTCCCCTTAATTTGTAGGATTCCTCTAAAGTAAGCCGTCCCCCGAAAATAAGCCCTATTACCCTACTCGCGCCCTGGGTAAGCTTACCGAGGGCGCGAAAAAACATCCCTTCAGCAGAGCAGAATGCAGTAGGGAGAAAGCAGAGCTTCGCCCTTCATGGCAGTGCTTTCGTCTCAGGGCGCGCTGAACGGGATCCCGGGAGCCAACAGCCGCGCGAGCTCCTCCTCCGCCTGGAACTCCCCTGCCCGGCGTGCGAGGAGAGAGAGGCACGAGCCCCAGGGGCGCCGCACGGGCGCTCCTGCCGCCGGACCAGAGAGAAGTAGAACAAAAACTTCAAGGCAGAGGGGAGGAGGCAACC